CAGTTCTCAATAGTTCTCACGCAACCAGAAACAATTGGTTTCTTGGCTTCGTTGTTGCTGCAGCTGCCCTGCGCATAGGCAGGCAGCACCTCCTTTGATCGCTACGAGAAGTACAAGATGGGCAAGACTGTCAGAGAGGCCCTGCCAGACAAAGGGGGGCTTGGAATGGTTCGGACATGCTCGAAAGAGCGACTGCAACTGCAGAGTCGCGGGCAGATCCACTTCGGCCCGTTTGCTTCAGCTGCGCAGGCCTTGGCACTTGGGGCTGCGAAGGGTGACATCGCCTACGACTGGCCAAAGGGCTTTTTTAAGCGAGTTTAAGCCATGGGCCATGAGGTGCAGTTGTTTGAGAGTGGAATGCCTTGCTTGGTCCTTTGTGATGTCAAAAGTCATACAACGGCTTTTTCAGTCTGCTAGTCTACTAGTCGACAAGAGCAACGTGCACAGAGCTGCCCAGTCCGCGCATTTCAATTGCCTGCTGAATTGTGCCAAACTTGCCCGGAATGGGCAAATGAGCACAGATGTGGCGGAGGTCATGGGGAGTGCGCAGAGAGCTTGAGAATTTGGGGGCGCTGCTCTGACAGCCTAGACTTGTGGGGATTGTCGCCATCAAGGGCAAAAATGGTCCGTGGGAACCAGGGCTCTGCAAGAATGTGTTGAGATTACTTTCAGTTCTTAAGTTGTTTCAAGAAGCTAGTAGTAACAAGTGCATCGCTACTAGTAACAAGTGCCTTACTAGTAGTAACAAGAAGCTAGTAGTAACAAGTGCATCGCTACTAGTAACAAGTGCCTTACTAGTAGTAACAAGAAGCTACTAGGAACAATAATTTTGGCAAAAAGTAATCTCATAATATCTCCTTCCGTTAGGTTTTTGTGCTTTCAGGTTGCTTTCAGCAAATGACTTGGTGGAGTCTTAGACGGAATCGTGGTCAAAAGCGATGATTGCTTTGTTGGTGCATAGTGAATACAGTAAATGCAGAGACTGTTGCCTAAAAGCCCTTCCTTGAGCGAATGTCTCCAAGTTTGGCATCACAGGTGAAAGATGAAGCCAAGGAGGAGGAAGAGGTTGCTGGCAGGCCAAAAAGAGCCATTTGTTTTTACTTTCTTGGCTTCATGTTCTCTCTCTCTCTCTCTCTTGGCTTTTGTGTGCCACTGGGGAAGGTCTGAGGATGACACAAAAGCAGAGAAAAAGGACAAGAAGGAGAAGAAGAAGGACAAGAAAGCCAAAAAGGCCTCTTGCTGATGCTTGCTGTATCAGCTATCGTCAAATGATTCTATCATATTCTATCCTACTTGTATCACATCAGAAAGGCAGCAAAGAAACTGAAGAAGATGGAGAAGAAAGTTGCTAAGAAGGTGTGGGATATTGAATCAACAGCTTATTGATACTGCATACCGGGCATACCGGCATTGTTATTGTTTCCCTTCGTTCGGACAAAAGGAGAAGAAAGCAAAAAAGGAGGCCAAACTTCTTCAAATAGAAAGAGCAATGCAGGAGCTGCAAACAAAATGCCCGATTTAAGATGTGATCAAGAGGCTTAACGGCTTGACCCTGGTGCCCAACGGTATCGGATGGTATCCAATGGTAATCCAAGTGCCTACATTTGAATATGTCTACTGTACTGGCTCCAGTCAGGTTTGTCAAATGAGCTACTGTTGCTCCAAACATGAAGTCTGGAGCGCATGGCAAACAATTCCCCTTTTGGATCCTTTCAGACCTTCCAGATAGCGATGGCCTCCAACCTACTAGCGATGGCCTCCACCCTAGTAGCGATGGCCTCCAACCTACTAGCGTGCTAGAACCCTTGTACATCCTTGTACTGCATAATATATACCTGGATATGCCTGCTCCAGTTACCAGGAGAGGTAAAAGTCAACCTGCGAAAGAGAGTACTTCCATGTGTGCAAGATTGAACAAGATCTCAATTAAACTAAACGAGGCTAGGCCAATAGTGCCAGTGACAAGACCTGTTTTCATGCTTTGCCATGGCCTCTTCCCACACACTCCCAAAAGGCAAGCCCTGCTTGAAATGCAACTTTATAGAGGGTCCAGGACTAGCATGTGACTTGCAAATTGTACTGTATACGGTATACGCAATTCACCGACCTGTCAACCTCCTTGCACCTTGTCTGACCTTTGCAACCCCACCCTGCAATTCAAGTTCCACTTCGCAATTGTCATGGACTGCTGCAACCCAACAGTGGAATCAGCGTTAGCTTCATCCAACATTCAGTCTTCTCCAAAAAGGACGTTTGAAGACAGGGCCACACAGGTTTTGGGAAACCTCATATGTTCGTTGCGCGGTTTGCTCGGGATCTGGACATGAAAAGGGTTCTTGTGGTGTCAAAGTTTTTCAAAGCACACAGCTTCATCGAGACTCCTGTGGGAGGAAGCTGGTGTTGCCGGTGTGAAGCGCAAGAAGTCCAGTTCGAGCAGTAGCTCCTAGCCAATCAACTCACGGTCGGATTCTCAGCACTTGGCAGGAGATGCATTTTGTTGAGAAATGACATGTAATGTCGAAGTGACAAGGTCATAGTGTGGAAGTGGTGCTTGCGTGCCATTTTGGCTCAAGCAATCAGCGCACCACAAGCGGGGCATGGGCTCAGCGGAGGTGGTGATCTGGGAAGCCGGCAGGAACACAGGAGACGGCAGTGCATCGTCCTTCCTGGTGTTCCTGCTGGTGACCTGGGTCGCTGCCGGACTGGTCGGCGCTTTCTTGTGCTGGTGCTGTTGCCTCCGGGCCACACCACGTACGGTTAGCGGAGACCAGGAGGCTGTGCTGGCTTGGGAGCGCTTGACGGCGAAGGCCCTACGCTTCATCGCCCGCAGGAGGCGGCTGGGAGTGGCCTTCCATAGTCTCAGGGACTACAGCCTGAGGAACAACACCGGGTCACGACCCACTACGGCTCGGAGGTTACGCAGAAGGGCATCTACACCCACGCCTGTGCTGCACGAGGGCCCTGCACTCTCAAATGGTCGACCCCACGGAGGACGAGCTCAGGGGCATCAACAATCTGGATGATGCACAGGCATGGTCTGGTGTGGATGGCGTGTTGGCAAGGACCCTCAATGCCGCACTTGGGGACCCAGCCCGTGTCCGGGAGATCGCACTTATCCCGGCCGATCTGGGATGATGCAGTAGACAACCTGGAGATCCAAGAAGGCGGCGATCCCGCTCCTGCACCAATGGCCACTTACGCCGGTGGAGAATGCCCGGGTGGAGTCACTTCGACGAGTCTGCTGCATTCGGTCGGGAAGACCGGCGGACCACCGAGGTGATACAGGAAGACCGGCAGCTCCAGCCGGAATGCCGGCACCCTTTCCTCCGGCAGGAGGAGGCGGCGCTGCAGCAGCCCCTGGAGTACCAGCACCACAAGCACGCAAGCTTAAGCTCAGTGCTGTGTTGGATCCAACCCTGGATGCCGAGATCCAAGCCCTGGCGGACGCGGAGGTCACAGCCATGTATGACCGATACAAGAACCGCTTCGGCGACTTCCCCTCGCCTGACGCCGACGTCAGTAGGGATCAGCTGGCGGCTTTGAGCCAAGTCATTGCATCGGGTTCCGTACCCTTTGCGGACTTTAGCGTCTTTGGCCCACATGGCCAAAGGCTCCTACGACGGCAGACCTTCCAGAGCTACACCCTCAATGTGTCCACGGGCGAATGGGGACGAAAGGAGCAACCAGGGCCTGCGTCGTTCTACGACTGGTACAAGGCCTGGCGCTGTTACAGGACAGCGATGCTGCTGCTAGAGGCCTCGGAGGCTGAAAGGTTGGATGCCTACGCTGAGCACATCCGCGGGTTCATCACGCAATTTGGCGAAGAAGCCTGGCCCTTCGTGTGCAAGGCTGACAGCAGAATGAGATCCGAGCAGCTGGAAAGGTTGCGAAGGGAACTGCACGCCAACCCGGCATTCGGATACACAGCTGCCACACCGTGGTGTGCCTGCTATGCAGCGGCTGTGAAGGACACCGAGTTCTGGAACAAAGAACTCACAACACCAACCACGCTCTACCTGGCACGAAGCAAGAGAGCGACCGCAGCAGAGGGCGACGGTGGAGACCACGAACCTGGAGGCGAGCCCAAGCGCCGGAAAGGCAGGTCCAACCGAACCTACAAGGGCGACAACCACTCCAAGCAGGATCAGTCCGGGCTGTACACCCACAACCGCAGAGGAGTGGAGATCTGCCGCCTGTACAACCAAGGCAAGTGTGGCACCAAGCAGGCCCAAGGGAAATGCAAAGCCAAAAGGAGCCATCAATGCAATCGGTGCCTGGGGCCGCATCAGGGCAGCGCCTGCCCTGGCGGATCCAAAGCTGACTGAAAACCACAAGGGTCGGGCACTGATGGGCATGCCCGGTCCTCAACAGCTGATCAAGACCCACCGAACATGGGAAGCAAGAGAGCTGCGCCCAAATCGCCGGAGCAACCTCCGACGAAGAAGCAACGGCAAACGGCAGAGGCAGGATGGAAGAGCACTGAGCCCGAACAGAAGAAGGGCGAAGACGTGCACAGCCCAAAAGACTCCAAGCAAACGCCCGGCCAGGCAGCAGAACGTCAGCATCCAGACCCACGCACCACTCCGACCGTTCCGCACGCAAGGGGAGCGTTGGGTCCGGGCTGAAACCAGTGGTGGAGCTCAAGGAACCCCCGACCAAGTACGGGAGCTGGTTCAGCACCGTTAGGCAGACGTCCACCAAGCCAAGGGCTCTCATCGTCTTCTCCGGAAGATCCCGAGAGGGTGACCTGGCTCATCAGCTCGCCCGCCTTGGCTGGTTAGTTTGCTGCCTCGACACGGCGATGCCAAGGCCGACCAACCTGCTCGATGACAAGGTCTGGGACCTCCTCAAGGACGACATCGACAAAGGTATGTTTGAGGCCGCCTGGATAGCCACACCCTGTGGAGGGCAGTACACCGCGACCCTGGGCCGGGTGAGCCGAAACCATATGGTCGAGGCTCGGCAGAAGCGGCTTTGAAAGCGGCGCAAGACCCGCAGCGATGTCGACAAGTGCTGGCAGAGGAGGCTTCCGCAGACACGTCAAAAGGACCGCTAGCGTCCAGACAGAAACTGCAGGATGGAGCGATCCGTTCCACTTGGACCCGTCCATGATTTACACGGTCATGGGGGCTTTGAAAGTTGGAGGATACCGTTCCGCGCAGCTCTACCTGGACGCAGCCAAGAATTGCCACATCGCACAGGGCCTCCCATGGAGCGACCAGCTGCGACAAGCTTATCGGGCAGCTGTGACGGGGCATTGGCAATTCGAAGCAGGCAGGAGGGCTCCCACTCGAGCAAGTAGCAGCCCTACCACAGTTGGGCCAGCTTGTGAAAGGCCAACCCGTGGCTGCCACCGTCCTCGCCTCATGGTGGCTCCTTCGAGAGATCGAAGCTTCTAGAGCACGCAGGAAGCACATCACCGTGAACGTGGCGGACTGCAGAGTCACCTGGCGACTTCCCAGCTCGAAGACAGACCAGGCAGCTTTGGGAGCAGAGAGGTCACACACCTGTTCGTGTGCGCTGCACTCACCCAACCTTTGCCCTTTCCATGTCATGATTGGGCACCTGGCCAACCTGCCGGAAGCACCGGATCAACCCATCTTCCCCGCAGAGGACGACTCGATCCCGGCGTCCAAGGAAGGGTGGGCCGATACCTTCGAACAGCTTGCCATGCACCTCGGCTTACCCGTGACTCACAGCAACGGTGCCCGTATGTTTACGGGGCACTCTGCACGGGTTACGGGCGCACGTTTCATGGCCGAGCACAACATCGAACTATGGCGCATCCAACTGTTCGGGCGCTGGGGCTCTGACGTGTTCATCCAGTACATTCAGGATGCACCCCTGAAGCAATTGGACAAGTTGGCCCTTGAATCCACTGCCACCATGTCCGTTCAAAGAGCCCAAGAACAGCTCCAACTTTTACAGCAACGCATAGCGTCCTGTAAGAGCCAATTCATGCACCCGGAGCCAGATATGCTCCATGATTGCGCCGCCGGGATACCACAAATCCCTGAGCACGACAACCGTCCTGGGGTGATCATTCAGAACACCGCGCGCGACGGGAAGTTTCATGCAACTTTAATTTACAAGCTCGATCTTCCCCCCAAACAATGGCGCACCCGTTGCGGATGGCCGTTTGGGAAGAACCAAGCTGACTTTAAGGCGCATGAGTCCGTTGACAGAATGCCCCTGCGCGATCGCTGCAGTAAATGTTTTCCCAAAACCCACGCCACCCGAGTGGACACCCCATCTTCCACCGACGACCAGCGCGCTGAAAGCGCAGGTGGGGAAGACTAATTCGCTAGTCGTTGGCGTCAGGTCAATTACATCCAATTTGCTTTCCTGGGTCCGGCCCAATAGAGGCACGCAACAG